CGTTGATGTTGCTGTTTCCGAGGCAATCTCCCTCGATTCCGACATGAAAACGGGTTAGCCTTTTGTCCGTCATATGACGGACATAGTCAGAGTAAGGTTTCATTCCCAAAAACATATATTCAAGCTAATGAGACAAGCAAACTCCATCGAACACCTTCGCTCAAGTCCAACAATTATGCAAAAAGAGAGTCCTCGAAACCCAAAAAAAAGCCTCTTTTGTCTGGTTGATTTTACCCAGAGCTGTCTGCCAACTTGAACTGCGGGTAATGAGAAGAAGCAAAGTCAACATGATGACTTCCTATTGAGGATGAGGCAGAATCATCGATAAGGCTGAAAATGCCTTGACAACGTTAGACAATGTTAGTTTCGGCAATCGTGTTACCGGATAAATACACCGAAATTCTTTCTTTCGATTGTCTTTTCACAATTTTCAGCTCCGGTGGTATCGGCGGAGTTGAGCCGCCTGCAAAAAGGAGGCAACGCAACTAGTCTTTTCCTGTCTTGGTTCTAATCATAGTCACTTCTCTGTACTTTTAGCTCATTCTTTCTCTCTCGCATTGAGACCAAAACAAAAAAAGGCTCAGCAATCTGAGTGATGGTTATAACTTGTATGTAGAAAAGAGGAGATAGTAGTCATCAAGAACTTATTATTACTTACTCCTTATTACTTTAAGCCATCACTGCAGCTTTTGTGCATAAGCGAACACAAACAGGCACATGCACATACAGAGACAGACACGCTCACAGGCTTCGAAGTAGACATATGACCGTAACTAACCAGGTCACTGTATACCTCATCAAAGAGGCCAGATATAGAGTACATATACCACTTTTTAGGGATTTGCCGGTGAGTCTTCTTGACTCGTTTGCTTGAATTTAGTTGTGATGATGAGAACTTGCTCTGATGAGGTTCGTCAAATGACGGACGAAAACTTAGCACCTTTTCCCGGAATCGAAGGAGATTACCTTGGAAATAGAGTCAGGATGAATGCTACAGTAAGGCCAATCGACAGATGGCCAAGAGAAGTCCGCTGTCGTCTTCTGGTGGAATCGAACTTCGAATCTCTTCACCAAAAACTTTCACTCGAAATGGCAGTAAGTAGAAAAACAAAGAAAAAAAGTCTTTTTCTCTAGCTCAATTTTCCCAGAGCTGTCTGCCAACTTGAACTGCGGTTAATGAGAAGGAGCGAAGTCAAAAGGACGACTTCCGATTCAGGATGAAGCAGAATCATCGATAAGGCTGAAAATGCCTTGACAACGTTAGACAATGTTAGTTCCGGATAAATACACCGAAATTCTTTCTTTTGATTATCTTTTCCCAATTTTCAGCTCCGGTGGCATCGGCGTGCTAATGAACATTGACCGTTTGTCCAAGCAACTTCATCGTGAATTGGGCCGTCCGGTTCAGGTGAGCGGACTCGTAGATTCTGCCTGGTATCTCAATGTTCCGGCCTTTCGTAGGGCTGATTGCACCAACGTCTTTGAGTGTCCTCCCGAAGAAGGCATCCATCGAGGAATAAAGTAAGAGTTGCATTAACTTTATGCTGTCGACATAGCTTTTAAATAATTGCAAGAATGGGGAGGGGAAATGGTACAAGCCTTTAATCTGACTCAAATAATCTATCTCAACTAATTATGCTAATAGTAATGACTGTAACGATCATTATAAATCGCTTAAATAGAATCAAGTGCTACAATGTTACAGAGCAAGTTTCCACCCAAAAGAGCTTTCTAGGTCTCCACAAAATGGCAGAGGATCCTCTAAACTAGTGTGCTAAATGCAATGAACTTGTTTACTTAGTAACTCCGAACCATTGAATGAACACAAGTTAAAAATTACGGAGTTAACGACAAGTCTTTATTGGTGACTACTCGGAACTTGATATGACCTGATTCCTGCATGTCAGAGCAGGAATTCATCTCTTAGAAATATGTAAAATCTTGTTCTGATTATAATTTGTTCAGTCTACGTCGCATATTTTGATATAAGGACTGAAAGTGAAATTTTCCCAAACACTATAAGTAGGGCTCACAATGCGTTGAATTTCTCAATTATTTAACTTTAAAACGCTTTTCTCCTCTCGACATGCTTGTACTTTCTATTCTACCATGCCTCTTGGTAATGTGGCAGAAAGTCAGACCAACAAAATTGTATTAAGGTTGTTTGAGATTGTTTTGGCAACATGGTCGAATTGGTAGGAAGACTTATTGGAACGCACCTAGTCCGGGGTCCATTGTATGCAGCATCATTTCCAAAGTTGAACCGTGGACGTGGTACATTCCCAGACGTACGGTTCAACTTTGGAAATGATGCTGCATACAATGGACCCCGGACTAGGTACTTTCCAATAAGTCTTCCTACCAATTTGTTGCGAAAACAAGGTCAAACAACCTCTATACAACGAAAGGAGACTGCGACCACACAAAAGGCCACACCACCTTGGTCTTCATATCTTCGATTGAAAATTGTATTAAGCATAACAAACAATTACACGATTTTCGAAATTATCATTTATTCATGACTATAAACTTAGCCATTTGAGGCTGTTTAAGGTGAGGTTTGCACATGTCAATGTAGGAGAAACTCCATTATTAAACTTACAATTCAAACTTAAGAGATATGGCGCGAAAAAGTACTGACAGCTTAGAAACAGACTCATTCTGACAACAATGCATTTTACTTCTCCCCAAATACGAGTCAGATAAGGGGCAACGATGCAGGCTGTGCAACGGAAAATGTGTCCGAATCACGTTTTAACATTTAAAGCATGAGCCAAGTCGAATAAGGAGACATGGCATGAGTATTCTGAGGGCATTTTCGCTTTATCCTCAAGCCTGCGGGGCGTGGCTTTACTGGACTGCCTTAACTAAAGAGTTGGCTAATAATGGAGGTTTAAAGAAACAGACAGAAACTGAGATCACCGAACTGAATCTGGCAAACACGACCCTTTCGAGAATATTTGAGATGTTTACTGATTTCATTTTGGGAAATATTCAACTACCAGTCCTTCATCACATCAAACGAAAAAGGGTGAATACAGTTCCTATATGCGATCTACTGGTGGTCTCGAAAACCTACTTATGCTAAGGAAAATAAGTTTTATTTTCTCCGTACGCATTGCTCTGATGCCCTACTTCCTCAGTAATACAATCACCATTTTCGAGAGCTGATGAGGAGCGGTAGCACCAGGACCCAAATAAAGCGGTACAACTGCCTATTTTGCCCTTAAAAGACACTTCCTTTCATCCTATTTACCAATATTCTTAAGTAATTGCCAGTTAATCCTAATGCATAATCGTTCTCAACCAAAATTGTCTTTAATCGTGTCATTTCCTGGTCCCGGTGCTTAGCAGCTGCAAGACGCAGACTCTAATTACCATGGATTTCATGCTCCATAAATATGGTTTAAAAAGGAACCTCGCATTTGTATGTACCAAGAAGAAGATGTTTTCTACGAATCTCCTCAGATAATATAATTGTGGAAACTTCATTTCTTATCAGGGCGCATTTGGAAGAGATGCAAAGGTTCATCTCACCCGAAGACGACAACTAATTCATGTTTTATGAGAAGTATTAACCCTATTTCGTCTAAGTTGATGAAC